TTAGAACGAAGCCTCGTTTTGCATAATCGTGGCCAGAGTGTGAACAAACCACCCGCCTACGCTCGGAAAAACAGTTTGTTTGAACGCAGTCGTCGGGGAGAATACGGCGACTTCAAACCGGAATAATGTCGTCTCAATGAGCACGGCTCAGTGATCCTTGAAGTCTAATGAAACGTGAAGCCTTAACTCCTTCATTAACTCATCTGAGCGGACCGAGCTTTCTGTCTAGTTGACTGTTGAGTTCATCCAGATTTCATTCTAAAACACCAGGCTGTAGATAAATATCTCCACAGCCTCAAGGCCAACTTGTTAGAACTCGTTACAGCCCTCAATCCTGGGCGTCTTTCAGGACTAACCTGGGTCCTCCTGAACCCTTTCCCTGCCCAGCTATGCTATTCCCAATTGGAAACCGGTTCAGATCCCGTCGTCTGGATAAGAACCGAGACACAAAATGCTCCCAGGTACGGTGGCAACACACAAAGCTACAACGTAGAACCCGAAAAACAGCCGCTAACCGATCCGAAACGGACGAAAAAACATCCAAAATGAGCAGAACATAACCTGAAGGACCTCGGGAACCAACACGGGAGGAATTCTTATGGGGTTATACAGCGAAACTGACCAGGTTCCAGACCACATGGCCACTCAGATTTATATGATAAATGATCTAGGCTCTACAACACACAAAGCTACAACGGAGAACCCGAAAAACAGCCGCTAGGCGATCCGAAACAGACGAAAAAACATCCCAAATGAGCAGAAGATAACCTGAAGGAGCACGGGAGCCAACACGGGAGGAATTCTTATGGGGTTATACAGCGAAACTGACCAGGTTTCAGGCCACTTTTATATGATAAATGATCTAGGCTCTCTTTAAGCTATCAAAAGCTTCTACTTCTGTCTATTTAAAGCCCTCCTCCTTCCGTCAGATCAATATAGTGTCTGTCTTTATTACAGACTGGATAAAGAACGTCTAAGCGTCTCTGAATCCCCAACAAAAACCCCACGTTTGAGCTTATCTGTTTGTGGATTTCTTCCCTCCCTTTTTCTGGCGAGCAACGGGGAGCTCGGAGATCACAGAGAATTTTCCCCCCAATATCCGAGAGCCCAGACACAAATCAACTGCGGCGGGCAAACAGCTTTTTGATTAAGATTCCCAGAGGTTCCTAATAAAGACTCTCGTCTCTCATTAAGGGGGAGGAGGCTCTGCTCAGATGGAGGGCTCTTGTTTGGAGAGGCCACCTGGTTAGCGGTTAGCTCCTCGACCTCGGGATGTGAGGGATGAGGCGAGGGAGCCATTACGGATGGCTGGCGGGCGGGGGGGGGGGGCGTATTGATCCCACTCCAAACTAATCGAGTCATTTCCAAGAACCCGTGTGATGGATCCACCTGTTAATCACATTTCCCCCGCTGACTAACGACCGATCCCCAGCTATTCGTCACGGAAACATTAAGTAGCAGGAGCAGTTTGTCACCCACACGCCTAGCTAGCCAAGGTCACCACAGGAAGCTAGCTCCCCACTCAGAGGTGGGCTAACAGACCAGGTGACCAGCCCCCCTGAGCAAACACAGATCAGAACATAGACCCAAATAACCCCCAGAACATCCCTCTAACTTTGCTTTTGCCCAATAACCAAACACACAGTGTCCAGAGGAGTGAAGCGAGAATGCTCATTTTCTTGGTAGTTTGACCATCCAAATGGAGAAAACAATGGTTTTGTTTCATATCCCTGACAGGTTTGAACCAAAACCAGACAAAAATTAGGCACATAGATGGAGTTTTATGGCTTAGGTGCATTTACTGTTAAACTTGGGAGCTGGTTGTGAAGCAAAGTGTTCATTTTAACCCTTTAATGCCAAATGTATCATATCTGATTCATACGGTTTCTGACTCCTTTTGCATAATTTAATGGTAAAAACTTTGCTCAAAATCCTATTGAACACAATCAGACTTATCGCATAGTAATAAATTATTCATTTTAAAAATGTATTTCTGTTTTTTTCTTTTTTACATATTTTGTTAAAAGCCCAAGGAATTCAAACAAAAAAAAATTTAATAACAGAATAATTTTTTTTGTTTTGTTTTATTCTTGGATTAGGCTTTAAAGGGTTTAAGACAACTTCCTGTCTTTATTGTGCTCTGACCACCCACAATGCACTAAACCTAACCCTAACCCTAACCCTGGCTTTCTTACATGCACTAAACCCACCCAGAAACCAGCACTAATTCCCGGAAATGCTCCGTCATACGTATTATATTCTAAATATAAGGTGCAGTTAATGTGGCCATGGCTGATTAAGCCTCCACCCCCCCAACTATAGCACATGTATCAGATCTGATGCTTTTGCATCATTTAATGGGACTATAATAAATGACAAATGATCAACAAAATAAGCACTTCAGACGGACAAAAAAAACTAAATCAAATTTTTCTCCAGTTTTATGAAGCTTTAGAGGGTTAGGGTTAGGGTTAGCGTCAGGGTTAGGGATAGGGTTAGCGTCAGGGTCAGGGTTAGGGATAGGGATAGCGTCAGGGTTAGGGATAGGGATAGGGTCAGGGTTAGGGTTAGGGATAGGGATTGCGTCAGGGTTAGGGTTAGGGATAGCGTCAGCGTCAGGGTTAGGGATAGGGCTAGCGTCAGGGTTAGGGTTAGGGTCAGGGTTAGAGATAGGGTTAGCGTCAGGGTTAGGGTTAGAGATAGGGTCAGCGTCAGGGTTAGGGATAGGGGTAGCGTCAGGGTCAGGGTTAGGGATAGGTTAGAGATAGGGTTAGCGTCAGGGTTAGGGTTAGAGATAGGGTTAGCGTCAGGGTTAGGGTTAGAGATAAGGGTTGCGTCAGGGTTAGGGTTAGGGATAGGGGTAGCGTCAGGGTCAGGGTTAGGGTTAGGGTTAGAGATAGGGTCAGGGTTAGGGTTAGCGTCAGGGTCCTGGTGAGGGATAGGGTTAGCGTTAGGGTTAGGGTTAGGTATAGGGTTAGCGTCAGGGTCAGGGTTATGGTTAGGGATAAGGTTAGGGTTAGGGTTAGCTTAACTTACGAACACTAAACCCAAAACGCACAGTTCACTGCCTAGATTTTAAATAATGAGGCCCTCTTATCCCTTTTAAAGAGAGATTTCCAAAGCCTGGAACAGGGAGCTGAGGGTCCCTCGGGGTTAGCGGGTTAGCGGGTTAGCTTAAGGTGCGCCCTTTCCTTTAGCGTCCTCCATTTGGTTGATATAGTAATAATAAAGCTAATAACACCCGTACTATCTTCCATCCTGAGCTGTTTGTTGAATATTAATGCTTTGGTATCTGACCCTAACCCTGGTGGTCTAGGTTTGGCTGTCTCTGATTGGCTGAGGGAATAATGCAGGTGGCTAAAGGACGGGCGGCGAATACGAAGGAGGAAAAAGCCTCTGAACCGTAACCACCGTCCAGATTTAGAAGTCAGGTGGTTCCCAGAGAGCGGCACATCAAAGAGCCGGTGACAGCCCATCTACTGTACCCCCCCCCCCCCCCCCCTCAGCTAGCATGTTCTGAGAGGAGACGTGTAGCTGTTAGCTAACAGAACAAACCCGGCTCCTCCAAGTCCTGGATATCAGACTCCGCCCACATCCAAGTCGGCCATT